GTCAGATAAAGAACTCCTCAGATAAGAAAAAGCTAAAGGAGTTCATCATCACCAAACCAGTATTATATGAAATGCTGAAAGGTATCCTTTAAGAAGAGGAAGAAGAAAAAGGTAAAGATACAAATTATGAACAAATACACATCTCAACAAGTGAATTTAAAAATCAAGTGAATAAATAATCTGATGAACAGAAGAAAAAAAGAACTTCTCTAGAAATCTGACTAGATCCAACTTTTCATATATGAATTGGAAGATAGTTGATATTCCTAAGTTAAGGACATTAAAAGTGTGTAGATTGTGAAATAAACTATTCACGCTTTACCACATGACATGGCAACTAGAGACTAAAACATAGTCCCTAAATAAACACACTAAAATATAAGTTCAATAACTGAAGTCAATGTTGAAAGTTATATAAAAAATTTAATCTTAAGTGCAGTTGATCCTTAAACAACATGGGTTTGAACTGTACGGTTTCACTAATACACAGATTTTTTTTCCAGTAAACACTGTAAATGTATTTTCTCTTCCTTATGATTTTAACATTTTCTTTTCTCTAGCTTAATTTATATGGTATGTAATACATATAACGTGATCAATATATGTTAATCTACAGTTTACGTTATCGGTAAGGCTTCTGGTCAACAGTAGGCTATTAGCAATTAAGGTTCTGGGGAGTCAAAAGTCATACATGGATTTTCAACTGTGCAGAGACTGGATCCCTAATCCCTGCATTTTTCATAGTCAACTGTATTTGCTTTAATGTCCAGAATAATAATGATATTAAAAATTATAGCAATAGAAAAATATGAGTAGCAGCAACCACTTGTTAAATACCGATTCTGTTTATAAAACAATGTTTACAATTAGGTAGTAGTATCAGTCCTAGTTTACAAATGAGGAAAATGAGACACCAACAGGTAACTTTCCCAAGTTTACACAGCTATCAAGTGGCAGTGCCAAAATCTGCAGCGTGATGTTCTGACTCTACACTCCTAACCATTATGTTATGTCTAATGACAATTTGTTATTCTTCCTTGTGTTTTACCAAGTGAAATGGGTTTTCTGGTCATCAAAGCCTAAATTTAGATTAGAGTCTCTTCACCTAAGGACCGAAATTTATAATCAGTTAACTTACATCAAGAACAGTGAGTGCAGGTAGGAGTCGGAGGTCATCTGTAAGTGACTGAAGTTTATTGTTGGATATTATTAATTTGGTCAAATCCGTCTGTTCCCACCATCGCTCGGTAGCACTGAATGAAAGATTCTGATTAGCTTCCTCAGGGATATCCACATTTATTCTCCAGACACACTGAGGCACTATTTCCAACACAACCAGACCCAAAAAGAAGGACATAAAACAAGCAGTTAGATACTAAGTGACATACTTTTATAACAGCTACTCAGTTTACCTACTGAAAAGCAAGTGCTGAAACATTTAAATAAAAGAAAAAAATACTTCAAATAAGTCAAGTAACAATGAATTATAACTAGATTAGAGTAAAAGTTGATTTTATTAAAAAACAATATGGGATATGTATTTTACCTATTGTACCTCACTTTTATCTTTATTTAACTATATTTACTATACATGCAATCTGCATAGCACCTAATAGAGAGAAAGGAGGGATTCTACCATTAAGCTAACAGAGTAACAGAGGGCATGAAAATTAACACTTATAAGGTAATGTTATAAATTTCATAACATAAGTGTGTATTAAGTCTGAGAAAGCACTGGTATTAACAATAATAGCTAATAATAATAGATAAGATGTACAAATAACAGGCAATTTTCTAACATACTAACTCATTTAAATCTCATAACAACTCTGTGAGGTAGGTGCTAATACTATTCTAGTTCATAGATGAGAAAAATGGGACACAAAGATAATTAGAATTTACCCAGCATTATACAGCTAGTAAACACCAGTGATAGGATTTAAACCTTGGCAAAACTATATAGTCTTGCCTCTCAGTGAATTGGAAGGCATACCTGTTTCTGGTAGCTGCTAATTTACCTGACAAATTCAACAGAAATGATAACATATGTCCATATAAAGACTGTACTTGAAAGTTCATGGCAATTTTATTCATAATACCCCAAAACTAGAAAAAACTCAAATGTCTTTCAATAAGTGAATGGATGATTATCTATCTATATATATAAAATCTATATATATAAAAGCCGAAGTGACTGGTTGACTGTTCAACCAGTAGCTATGATGGACAGTGACCACCAAGGGGCGGACACTCAATGCAGGAGCTGCCCCCTGGTGGTCAGTGTGCTCCCACAGCAAGAGTGCTGCTCAGCTGACCAATGGGCGCCAGGCACTGGGCTCATGGCTGGCGAACACAGCGGTGGCAGTACTAGCCTCTCCCACAGACACTCCTCCTGCACGCCCCTTCCCCATCCGGACCAGGACTGGGATCGGGAACCGCAATGGGACTGACTGGGCCACTTCTTGCTCATGGGCACTTCTTGCTCATGGGCACACCGGTATTACCCTAGATGAGGTGCACAGAGACCACAGTAGAGCAGCAGTGAGCCTACCGAGCAGTGGTGGCAGCACAGCAGGGCCGGGATGAGCAGGAGTGGTGCCCCGGTCCCAGCTCGGGCTCCTCCCCGGCTCAGGCTCTTCCCCGGCCACCTGCCACTTTGCACACTACTACATCCCTCAGGGGATGTAGGACTGCCAGTTTCGGCTGATCCCCGCAGGCTGAGGGACCCCACCAGTGCACGAATTCATGCACTGGGTCTCTATTTTAAAAATAAAAAGAATGAGTCTAGAAAAGCAAAATAAACAAAACCAAAAAAAAACAGTATACTAAGCAAAAGAAGTCTAAAACAAAAAAAGCAGAAATGTGTAATTCCATTTAAATGACATTCTGGAAGAAGCTAATATATATTTGTGTGGAGCACTGGGTTAGATTGACAGCAAAGGGGCATAAGAGAACTTTCAAGTGTTGGAAATGTTCTATAACTTGATTGTGGTAGTGGTTAAACAATTATACATCTGCCAAACTCATTGAACTATATACTTAAAATGGGTGCACACACTGTTTGTAAATTACACCCCAATAACATTAACTTGAAATAAAAAAAGATGCCAATTTTTAAAATCCAGATAATGTAATATATGAAAGTAACCGTGTGTGTGTGTGTGTGTGTGTGTGTGTATGTGTCTAATAAACAAATATCCACATATATGCGTGTGTATATATGAAGGAGAGAAAAGACTTGGAGTATAACAAAAATTTATTATTTAACAAATGCAATCCTATAGAATAAAAGCCTAATATGCAAATTATCCCCTTGGGTGGTCATTCGACCAGGAGACCAGGAGTTCAACCGCTCGCTATGATGTGTGCTAACTACCCGAGGGCAGTGTAGAACATGGCCGGCATCAGTGATGCGCTGCAACCTCTTGTTGGCTACCTGGGGGTGGGGATGATGGGGACGGAGGTGCAGTGAAAATGCGGGGTGTCCACCGAGCTCACTCCCACTCCCCCTGCTACCCTACCATGGACACCAGCGCTCGCGTGCTGGGGAAGCCCAGGCATTCAGGTACCGGGCCCCGCGAGAAGCCCACCCCGCATCCACGCAGCCTCTTCCGGGTGAGCCAGGCCACAGCCACAGGGACTACAGGGGCCAGTCGGGTTCCCCATGGGTTCTTGCAGGAGCCAGTCTGAGAGGCTGGCTGGGAGAGAGCGCGCTGCCCGCCTGGCTTCAGTGCAGTGCTGCCAGGCCCAGAGGCCCACGCTGTATCCCAGCCCATGGCATCTGGCCATGCTCACCGCATCTGTGTGGGGACTCAGGCGCATGACACAGAAGGAGGGGGACGCATGGGGGGCCCGGGAGCCCAGGTGCTGCCAGGGCCCAGAGGTCAGATGGTACCTGCCCTTCCACGCCAGACGCTTGTGCTTCAATCACCGCCTAGGCCTAGGGACCACACCAGTGCATGAATTTCGTGCACCAGGCCTCTAGTTCTTAATAAATAAATTTGAATAAAGCTCACGTTAAAGTGCTTATGTGACTATGAACTGTTCTAGGTGTCACTTTGCTTCCTTGGTACCTACCTAGTACCATATCTGGAAGAAACATAGATAGTATACAACAAATGCTGTTTAAGTAAGTATGCAGCACTTCCCATTGCCTCTCTGACCTGGGACCTCTGAACAGAGTCTTACAGGAAGCAGAGGAGTGAGCCTGTCAGGTATAAAGGAAATTTTTCCAAGCTTTGGGAAAACCAAGTGCATATGCATGTCGTTTTAAAATACTTATATTCCCATAGATTAAAAGCTGTACCAGGTAGAGCAGAGATTTTAGGTCATATACCCTTTCATTCACTCAGCAGGATTTCTTGGTCTACTCTATACATGAACGGCACACACAAAAAAGCAATCATTAGAAGGAAAGTGGAAAGTTTTAATACCAGATAGCCTGAAACCTGACTATAAATAGAGGAAATCATTTCTGGAAGAATGATCCACTGTCTCCTTCCCCACCTCCCACTACCTTCCAGATAGTCGGACGAGCATCTGGCTATTTATTCTTCACTCATGGTATCCAAATTGGGGCTTGTTGAGCTTTTATTCGGTTTATCAGGATGGCCCCAAATTCACTCTGTAGGGCATCTATCCTGATCCGCAATTTGGGAAATATGCTCATGATTCCTTGTATTTTAGGACAGCTCAGGTGCACAAAGAAAAGTGTCTGGTCAGGGAACAGCGGCATGCAGAAAGTTCACAAAGGAGCTGACAAAGTGCAGAATTTTAGGTCAAATTAAAAGGAGGGAAATGAGGGCCAAAGCAACAAAGCATTTGCCCATCATGTGATAGCTAATTTAGTCACACATTAGGTCGTTTATCTCATAGACTGTGGGAATCCCGGAAGGCGTCCCGTTTAAGTGTTGGCCCATTCCCATCAGGGTCCCTTCACCACACATTCTGAAGAGAGAGTCGGAACCGAATCGGGCTGACCGAGCCAATGGGAGTGCGATGAGTACCTCGATGAAAGCCACGGGGTCCTGGCCAGAAGCGTGAGGCAAAGGTGGCCAAAGCCAAGCCAGAGGAAAGGGAGGTGGCCCGGAACGAGGGCTTTCTGACAGGACGCAAATCGGGTCGCACCCTGGACCTTACCTTCGCTGAGGTTCCGCCCCGACAGGTTTAACTGCAGTCTCCCCTTTCAGCTCTGAAACCCGCTCGGGGATCCCGCTCCGCGACCCCTCTCAGACGCGACATGTTCCCACCCCGAGTCCCAAAGCAGAGAGCCCTGCGCGTGACGCTCAAAGGCGCCGCCGCCTTCGGCTCCGCCCTCCCGGGGGCGCGCGCGCTCGGGGAGCGGGGCCTTCCGCTCTTGGCGGCGCGGCCTCGATGACGTCACTGTCCGTGACTGGAGCTGGAGGACAGAGGAGCCCTTCCCGTTGCCGGCGTCAGCCTGGTCAGTTGGAATTACTTCGCTCAAGTAAGTGTGTGTAAGCGGCCGTGGAAGGACTTGAGGATGTATTGTGTGCAGTGTTCCCGCGATGCCCTCCTTCTTCTCGGTGCCCTCGCCGTCGCCAGGGTGGCGGGAAAGAATAACCTTTTCTGCTTCCTCCTTCTGGCCTGAACTGAACGTGGGCCTTGAGTAAAACTTGAGACCTGGGCGCGGTCTGCCGCCTAGCTGGACCCTAGCCTGTTTGTCGCTGCTGGTGGTGGCGCCAAATCTCCGCCCGGCGTAGAAAAGAAAGCTGGTTTCTGTTCTTCCGGACTGTATTCTCTGATTCCCAGAGTTGGTGTGCCTGGCCCGCTGTTGTATGGAGTTCATAGGCCAGCAACGGAAGTAGTGTGAGATGGACGGGTTGGCCGCAGGGAGAGGAGGGGGACAGGCTCAGTAACTGTTTTCCCGGGAATCGTGTGGAGGCACAAGCTTTAGCAGAGCGGAAACGGCTTGGAAGCCTGGAGATACGAGTTCGAATCCCAGCTGCTTCTGTATCTTACCAGCGATGTAGTTGTAGGCAATTTACTTGATCTCTTTTTAAAGCTCACTTTTAAAAACTTAATCTAGAAAGAATAATTTGTATCGCATTTGACTTTTAAAACAATTAAGTGAAGCTCACGTTTTCAATATTGAGCGCTTAGTGAAGAAGGGGACTCCAATCCAGAATAGAAAAGGATTTTTTAAAAAATATTTTTATTGATTGCAGAGAGGAAGGGAGAGGGAGAGAGAGAGAGAAACACCAAAGATGAGAGAGAATCATTGATCGGCCGCCTCCTGCCAGCCCACAAGAGGGATCGCGCCCGCAGCCAGGGCATGTGCCCTGACCGGGAATCAGACCGTGAGCTCCCGGTTCATAGGTCCTCGCTCAGCCACGCCTGCCGGGCAAAGGACAGTTTTGTTCAGTTAGGTCGGTTTTCCTGGAAAGTTAGTTTCTGTCTGAAATGTACAGCTTTATTAATTAAACAAATAAGTAAGAACTCATCATCTTTAGACTTTTCTTTTGCCTAAAGTGACTTTGTTTTGAAAAGCCTATACCGGGAAATGCCCTCCTGAGCCCCATCAACTCGGCGGTTGATCGGTGGGATGTTTGAAAGGTAGAATGGCAAAATCTGCAGCACAAACAGTTTTGCCCGAGTCCTGGCTCTTGCTACCTCTGATAGTCGGTTTTTAACCCCCTCTCGCTCTTTTTCTTTTTAGTTCTGTAGAGCCCTGTACACTAAGAGTGAACAGCAGAAAAGTACCAGTATTTACACTACCAAGCAAGAAAAGAGTGGGTTTTGCCCAGCCGATGTGGCACAGTGGTTGAGTGTGGACCCGTGAACTCAGGAGGTTGTGGGTTCGATTCAGGATAGAGCACGCGCCCAGGTTGGGGGCTTGACCCCCAGTAGGGGGCCTGCAGGAGGCAGCCTTGATGTCCCTCTCATCATGGATATTTCTCTCTTATCCCTCTCTTTATAAAATCAATTTTTTAAAATGGGTTTTAAAGCAAGAACGATAGCAGATTATGCAATGTCACTAATGAGATCTCCCCTCCCTCCAGTTTGTCTTGACGATTTGATTTTAGCCACCTTATTAATATTAAGCCTTTACTTAGTGCTGGGCTCAGTGCTAATAATACCTCTTTTTGCTATCTCTTTTTTAACACAGTGACCAATTTGCAGATGAATGAATTGATGCTAAAAGGGATTAAGAAATTTATCTAAGGTCACAAGTTTCTATAAGTTCTATGGCCAGGAATTTGAACCTAGATCTCTTTCCTAAACCTTTCTTGTTAATCATTATTATTCGGTTAGTGGCTTTTATTTCATCATTTTCAACTTGCTTTTTAGTCTGGACCCATTTTAAGGGACCCTTCAAATATGTTTTGGGAGACATTTATTTATTAGCGAAAACCCTTTTTCTGTAGGATTTAACCTACCTTTGAAGGATGAATTGTTCAAGTATCAAATTTTACAATAGCCACCCCTCTCCCTACAATAAGTTCTTCAGCATTGCTTTAAATAACATGCAAGGTATAATTTGTTCATTTATTGTGCTTCTACTTTAAGTTCAGTATTTCATTATTGGTATTTAATTTGCTCTGACCCGGGATTGAACTGCAACCTTGGCTTATCTAGGTGACACTCTAACCAGCTGAGCTACCGTCAGAGCACACTGTTGCATTTTGTTTAAGAGAAGCACAGCCTGTTTAATGGAAAAGTACTTGTGAAAAATCCAAGTGACTTACACTTTTAGTAAACAATAGATATAAAGTGCCATGTAAAAATTGTACTAGAATGGCCAAAACCGGTTTGGCTCAGTGGATAGAGCGTCGGCCTGCGGACTGAAAGGTCCCAGGTTCAATTCCCGTCAAGGGCATGTACCTGGGTTGCGGGCGCATCCCCAGTGGGATATGTGCTGGAGGTAGCTGATCGATGTTTCTCTCTCATCGATGTTTCTGGCTCTCTATCTGTCTCCCTTTCTCTCTGTAAAAAATCAATAAAATATATTTTAAAAAAAATTGTACTAGAATGTATTCACAGTACCACTAGTATTGCATCTGAAGCAAGTGCAAATGGATGAAAATTATTTCCTCATGCAATTTGGAAAATTACATGTTCTATCGATTGTATTACTTTAGGAAAAATGCATTACAAATTTTTAAAAACTCGGACCTTTTTCAACATGAACATATTTGTTGAAAAATATTCATAAGTTAAAGTACTTGGTTTTTTAAAAAAAAACAGATTATTAAAACAATATGGATATCTCCTTTATGAGTTTGTTTGCTTTAAAAAAAACAGATTATTAAAATAATCTGGAGACTCCTGCATAGCTACCTTTTGCAACAAAATTTGTCTAGCTATAATTTACTCATTTTTTTAAAGTAATGGAAGGTTTCACTCTTCTAACTTATTTGCTAAATTAAAAAAAGAAAGTGAAGAAACCAAAAATATGCTGAGTCTAAGAATTACATTGACCGAAAAAAATGTTTTGTTTCATAAGGTAAAATAAGATTATTATCAAAGTAAGAGTAGCTTATCTCCACCATTAAAATTTAATGACATTTTCAAACATGGCTGTGTTACTCTTATGAACATTACTACATTTGTTTTCCATTCAGCTCCATAACTGCCAACTTTTAAAAGTAGCAAAAAATGCTGTATTATTTCTTTGAAGACATATATTTTGCATTTGTAATCATGGTTTCAAATGTGGCTTTGATTTGTATTTTGTTGCTATTAGAGTTGTTTGTGGCAATTTTTTTTTTTTTTTTATGGAGACAGTGCATGTTATTTTAGGTTATTCATTTGTGTATTTTTTGTTTCCAGTGCTTCTCTTTCTTGTTTTTGAGTCATAAAGTAGTGATCTTACTCCAGGAGGTTTGATATTTTATTCAAATGTTGAGTGATATAATTCTCTCTGCTTTCAATACAAAAGAATTTTAGCCCACCAGCTTTAGGAAAATATTTTCATTTTCCTTTTATAAAAAGGTTTTTACATGCTAGTGTTTTTCACATGAAGAAAAGTGGAAGAACTACTTCAAAATATTTTTCTTTTCATCCTAATTTCAGTTTTCTTTTTTGGTTTGTTTTTTTATTGGGGAAAAAAAAGCTAAAATCAGTGTGGTTGTAAAGCACTTTTATGTCACTAAATAAAAACATTATGGTGTCATTTATAGTTTTTTCTCAAATCAGCTGAAAATGTTTCCCATTATTCCAGTGAGTCTTACTTCTAAACTTAATAGCTGTTTGGTTTCTTGCTCATTTTTCAAGATTAATGTGTTCTGTGACCTAAAGTCTTAATATTAATTGTATAGGATTTATGAGTTTGTTTGCTTTATTTTTTTTTTAAATATATTTTTTATTGATTAAGAAATTAGGAAGGGAGAGAGATAGACAGTTAGAAACATCGATGAGAGAGAAACATCGACCAGCTGCCTCATGCACACTCCCCACTGGGGATGTGCCCGTGACCCAGGTACATGCCCTTGACCGGAATCGAACCTGGGACCTT